TTCCCCCCGCTCTCAGTTCCCCCGCGCGCTTGGCCAAGCCGGGGGAAACTGAGGCAGGAGCCTCGTGGCTGGAGGGGAGCGGCCCCCAGCCTCGCGTCGCGCTTGCGGGAGGGAGCGCGGCAGGTTTGGGAGGACCCTGGTCTCCCAACGCAGGGGAAGAAGCTGCCAAAGGAGTTGGCAGATTTTTTTTTCAAGCTTTATTTTTTCTTCCTTAGGACCTTCCAGGATGTTTGGTAGCAGGTCGTGGGACCAGAGCAGGTCGCTCAGCTCCGGTTGGGTTCGCGCAGGGACGAGGGTGGAAGCAACGGGCCAGGTGAGCGGGCTTTGGGGCGCACACAAATCCCGTCTTTCCAGCAGGTGGGAAGAGGACAGTTGCCCGTTCTGCCAGCACGGTGCGACTGTACAGGCAGAAACACACGTGCCCGTGAGGATGACACTGACCTGGCCGCTGCAAGGCCCGCTCGTCCTCTAGAAAATTGCCCTGAGAACCTGCTCTAGAAATGCAAAAGTTTATTCTCGCCATTCTTGCGATTATGAACCTCTGGCTGTGTCCCAGGGACCGCTTCGCTCTGTCTTGCACCAGTGTTTTCCGCTACAAATGGCAGCTCATTTCATCAACAGCTCTTTTTTTTTTTTTTTTTAAAACACTGCTACATGTCCGTGTGACGATGGCTGTTTACCATCATATTTTTCCTACGCGGGTTCATCCCCCAAAGTCTCGAGGATCTGAGGGATCAGATGCAAGTTTTGTTACAAACAGACCTTCCAAGATCTCAGAGCACGCAGCGCTCGGTGAGGTGTCTGTGTGAAATTAAAACTGCTTCTGGACGAAGGGCACTGAATTTTTACCTGTGTTTTGATGCAAAAGACACTTGAGTCTCTTAAGTTTGCAAACAACTGTGCACCTGAGTAACAGCTGTATTTTTAATACTTGTGTGTAAATGTGTGTGCGCAAATATATACTAGGCTCCAAGGTGATGCTGTTCTTCCATTAAAGGAGTTTGTTTTGTTTTTTTGTTTTTACTTATGCACGAATACTTCTTTATTCGCTTTTTTTGTCTCTCAGGTCTTATCTGCCTGTTTTTCTCCTTTCCCAAGGAGACTGTAAGGACAACTGAACAATCTGGAAGATTACGATATTACGAGTATCAAAGGAATGAAATGGGTGCCTCTGAAAGCGAGTGGGATCTCTGTGCCAGCCCGCAGGGTGTATTAGCCACCCCACCGCTCCAGCCGTACCGAAGAGGTAGAGGGAAAAATCTCTTTGCTAAA